AATTCATATAATCCATCTTCTGTGATAAAAGCTGTTTTCTCTTGATCTTCTTCAGCAACCTTCATTTGCCAATATCCGCTCATGCAGTCCAAAGTGGTAAACCATTTTGCTCCTGCCATTGTATCGAATATGTCATTTATCATTGGCAGTGGATATTCATCTCGTTTGGTTTTTTCATTCAGCTTTCTATAATCCACACATAACCTTAGTTTGCCATTCTTCTTTGTCACGACTACCACCGGTGATGTCCATGCACTATTTGATTCTCTAACGATTCCAGCATTAATCATTCTTTCGATTTCTTCCCTTATGAATTTTCTTTTCTCTTTGTCATGTCTATATGGTCTATTTTTAACAGGCCATTCACATGTAGTGGGTATGTGGTGTTCATACTCCTTTATTCGTCCTAGTTCCAAAAGGTCTTCTGCAAACCTATCTTTGTATTCGTTTATGAATTTATCTAGTTGTTGTTTCTGTTTGGGTGTCAGGTTGGATTCCCCTTTAATGGTGAGTGCTGGTGTTTCCTTCCATTCTCCTCCCATACCTTTCACAAAATATGCTGCTTCCTCTTGCAATACTTCATCCTCGTATAATTCATTTCCTTCAAGTATTACTTCTTTTGGCTCTTTTTCAAATATGATTGGGTGTTGTATTATTTTGCCGTTTTCTTTAGCTTCAAGTATTTTCTTTTTAAAGTTGATAGTGGCTTCTATTTGCCTCAGCCAGTTATTTCCTAATATTACATTGTAATTTTCTGCCTTTAGCACTACCATGTCCATTTTTATCGGTCTTTTTCCATCCAGGGTTACTAATATTTCTTTGGCTATTCCCAACGGTCTTGTCTTATTTCCATTCACGTCTATTAGCTGGGAGTAGGATTCTTGATCAATCCCTTTTCCCAACTTATCTAAGTATTGTTTTGTGATTACACTTAGTCCTGATCCCGTATCGATTATAACTTCTGTTTCTATATTGTTTATGAGGGCTTTGCTGGTTATAGCATCTATCTTTTTATCTGGGGCTTTCTT